GGTTCCAGAAATTATTTGATTGATTTCTCCGGCTTGTATGGCATGGTGCAGAGTCCTGTTGCCAGACAATGGGTCTTCCAGGAGCGACCCTGTTAACACAGGGCAGCACTATCTCCTCAAGTCACTGATGCCCTGTAGGAAGATGAATGGAGGCATCACTAGTGATCACTACAAATACCTTCGTAATAACCATTAGAGCCATACAACTTTTGTCTAATCTCCTGCACTCTCTTTAGATTGACAGACAAACACTCGGAAATGTTCGTATTGAAGCTTCCGGTGCAAATGCCAAGGCGTTTCAAAATTTCTGACGGTATGAATTGCGTCATGCTTCTCTTTTTCTCGTAGACAGTGTCCAACTGACCCTAATATACCGAACATTCGACAAAAGAAAAACAACGCGCATGCGCCAAATTAAAAATATAAAATGGCGAGAATTTACCCATATTCCCTGTATATTATGGGAAGAAGTATGACAACCTGAAAAAAATGTTAGTGTGAACTTCATTAGTATTACATCGGAGTTAGCTGATGTTTACGTTGAATCGACTACGCATGCGAAGGAAGTTATTTCTTCAAATTCTTAAAGCAATACAACCAAACCACGACATTTTAGCGTCACTTGATGTAGAAAAGATATTTGCAATCGTCCTTGTCGATGAAATCATCGATATAATCTGTAATTCTGTGTATAAACATAAAATTATTACACCTCCATTCATCAAACCTAATTACTGCACGCCTGCACAACTTAACTGCTCTTAAACAACTATACTGTTAATATTTATACCCAAACTAAGTATAGAAAATACACTTGGAACGTGATTCAAAAGCTACTACATATCTGATGTTGAAAATAAGATATTTTTAAAAATTACTCAACCTAAAAACTGTCCGCTATGTAGATGATAAAAAACAAAAGAGAAATTGATAATCTCAAAACTACATTTGAAAAAATTCTGTCCTTAACTTAATCTATGAACATAGTTTTAACCATGTTCACCATAGTCTATGAATATAGAATACAGCGCAGTACCTAATCTGTTCAATAAAACAACGTTAAAGATTAATACTCACGAGTCAGACACTCTATTGAATCTGACTATATCGCCAATACCACCAGCAGCTGTTCTGTAATTTTTCAGTCTTCGATATCAAAGGCTGCCAGTGAATATTCGGAAAAAAAACATCGCCGCCTTTATACACGTCGCATTGAATATTTTAAGCCTTCTGATTGGTTAACCCTTCTATTGGTGAACTATAAAATAAGTCAGCTCATTTTGGCTGGCTCACTAGTACCAAGGTACCCAAACATTCTAACATATAGTCCAAAAAACTTAAATATAAAATAGGCCATTATAAAAAATTGCTCATGAGAACACACGAGTCGGTTTTTCTTTAAAAAGAACTTGAAGTGAAACAGGTGCTAGTTAATAATGGTTTTCCGAATTACCTCATAGAATAACAAATTATACATTTTCTTTCTAAGATAACCAATAGCAAAATTGGGCATACAGAAAAAACAATAGCATTAACATTTTCTGTAAAAGTGAATTGCATGGTAACTATAAGGAGGATGAATCTTCCTTTAGAAACATCATGAAGAAATATACAAATTCAGTCGACAAAAACAAGAAACTTAAATCTCCTATAAAAAAATGAAAACTGCAAAACTCATCGTCAACAGCAATAAGTCATGTGAAAGATCCAAATTACAGATATATTATTTATGAATTCAGATGTACCTTAAAGAACTGGCTTCCTGACCAAACTAAATTCATAAATACTTATATTGGATATATTACAACATGCCTAACAACAAGATTCACGTTACATCTCTCAGATCATAGCTCAATTAGGTCTCATTTATGAATTTAATCTTCACTGTTAAAAACGAAAGAAGAATTTTTTTAAAAATATTGTTTTGCTATAAAATAATAAAGAAATTATAAAACTGCGAAATAGGGTTTTTGTCAAAGTATTTTTTCCAAACCACACAAATTATTCAAATTTCATTGATTGGTTTGAGAAATTGAACGAAAGTTTGTAAATCTCGCCAAAAATTGTTAGCGATAACTTGAACAATAGTAAATGATATAAGGATTTCTACATACGTCAGCTTGTTGCAAAAATTTCTAGTAATCTTAAAACGCGAGATATTACATAACTTAATCAAATCCGAGGTTCAAAACGTCCAGAATATGTTAACCCTTTTTCTTCTAAGGAAAATATTCATTGACAAAGCAGCACTACTGTTGGAGGAAATTTCCATCTTTGTCGTAAAACAATTTTTCTGGAAAATAGGTTTCCCAATGCCCGAAGCTGTTTCCAGTATTGGTGGGAGTTTCCTTTCTAACATTTTGTTTTAAGTAGTGTGGAATGCAACCATCTTGATTGAGTCATTACTTTCTTTAAAATATCGATTTTTTTTTTTTTTTTTTTCTATTTTCTGTTGTTGAAAGTCCTCAACTGATGGGGTCTTATACTGGATATATGACAACATGCCTAACAACAAGTTTCACGTTACATCTCTCAGACCATAGCTCAATTAAGTTTCATTTATGTACACACGCAGGTCTACCAAACTCCATCCGCAATATACTCATTGACAATACAAATATAATAGCAATATCTACATGTCAAAAAAGGCTAAAAAAATGGAAGCATTATTAATATAAAAAATGCCAACCCTCAATAACATCATCTATGAACACGGCCGCATAGTGCAAAGAAATCATTCCTGTAGATACATACATTAACGAAATCCATGTATTCAGTTAAAAATAAATATAAAATCATCCTTGTTAATGGATAAAAGAATAGCCGAAAGTGCCCCGGCATATAAAACATTCGGACAATTTCTACATAATTCATGTCTAGAAATGAAAAGAATTATATGTATACAATAAAAATTAATTAAAAAACTTAACCACAGTAAGTAAACTTGTCATTTTCTTTTTTTTTTAACGAAACTTGTGTACAAGAGGGACCGCTGTCCAAATACACAATTTTTAGATTACATGACTCAGCAGCTAGCAAGAAAAGTAACGGTGCAATATTCAGAAAAAAATGCTTGTTTTACGTGAAATAATCGCACTTAAATTTTAAATCCAATATTTAAATAATGAAATCCGAAAACATAATGAGATACTAAAAGATACTTTAACTCTACCCGAATATAACGAATCACAGTGAAATATCACCCTAAGTATTAATGATGACGAACTTAAACACATATAAATCTCTATATATAAAAGGTAGGATGTGTGTGTGTGTGTGTAACGAATGCACGGCCGCAATTTTTGAAGGATTTGCACCAAAATTTACATGCACATACTCCAAGTTAGCGAAAAGGCCAAGACCGACTTTGCATTTCCCAACTCCCATCGATTTTTTCATGCTTCTACGGCAGTTTTCATGTAGTGTGCGGCCATTTTCTACTGACAAGAGTTAGAGCCTATATCTGGCTGCCGCGAATAGGCAAGAAAATTCTATTGGCCAGCGTGAGAGCCAACAGCTGACTGACACGAATGTTAACTAGCATGCAAAAAAATCGATAGCTGCATTGGTCACAGGTGGAAAAAATTTAAATCTGCATGGCACTTTACTCCAATTGTCTCATTCGCTTGCTTAAACTCAACGTTGATTCTGATTCCGCAGAACTGGGGTGAGTGTGAAAAAGTATTTGTTATTAACATTCTTTTTTCATTCGGTTTTTACAGTTACGAGTCCTTTTTTAAAGCTGATCGTTTTGTGTTCATTTTGTTTAGTTCTTTTTTCGTAACAGATTTAATGTTTAGTATAGAGGTTAGAAAAAAATTCGCAGTGTGAGATAGGCAAGAAGTAGGGCATGTAGCAACATCAGCACGGAAAAGGGCACTCCTTTAAAGGTAAGGAAGGACAAAAATATTTTAAGTCAAGTGATAGCGATTGCTGTATGAGTCGTACGATTTTTGAATCAAGCACGGGCAACGCCAGGCCATGCCGCTAATCATTACTAAAAAGCTTTGCAACTTATACCAAGGAGATAATCTATTTCCCAATAACAGTCATCAATATGTAAGCCTATCCAGTCATAAATTAACAAATGACAAGAACAGGTTACTGCTGACCAAATCATCCACTAACCAATCGATTGATTTACACACACACACACACACTCACACGCACGCACGCACACACACACACACACACAATATTTTCCTTTCACAGATCATCGTATGACATTTTCACTCGATGAACATCAAACGGCGATGGTGACACTTGTTTCCGCTCGTCTTTCATATATCTTCCGGGCTAAGCCATTTATTTAAACGAGGCACGCAGCAAGGTGTCCACCACCTCCCATGTGTGAACAAGAAGTATCATAGTGTCGAACCCTAGACTCTAAATGTCTATTCATCATCGGCTGTATGAGAGCGTTCGTGCTGTTAACATTAAGGAGCTGAGGCTTGTAATATCCTGTGGATATATGACAAAAGAAAAAAAGAGTAAGGATGGCCTCCGTCTACACATTTATGTCACCATTGGTGGAAAGTTATCCAATTCTAGGCAGTGAAGATTTTGGAAAGAAGACATATTAATAGTTTATTGCGATGGAATAACCAATAGAATCCCATCACTTAGGAATACAGTACGGAAGAAAAGAGATGGTTTAAACAAAGAACATTAAACATTTGGGGAAGAAGAGAAAAAAGAACAATCTATTGATAGATAGATTACTTCGTTTTCTACGGGTTATCACCCCTTTGCACGTTATTTAAATTCAGAAAATATTTTTAGATTTAAAGAATTTTTTTGTGGGGATGAGGAGTAACAGTCATTTAGTTGTACAAGTTTTACTAATTAAACCATTGGTAGAAGAGGTGGATTCTTACCATTCACAAGGAGAAATTTGCATATAAATGAATATGACGAAACAAACTGGAATTCGAACTCGGGTCTCCGATTAACAATTCCAAGCCATTATCCATTACACCACCATAGCATCCAAGTTTAGATCACCTGGTATTCCTAAGCGATTACCCATCTCGGTACGGAACAGGCTCGAGGCTGCTTAACTTCGGTGATCGTACAGGAATTGGTATTTCAACATATGGCCGTAACCCCAAATCGTTCATTGGGATGATAGAACCGAAAAAGTCCCTAAAGGCAGAAATACAGTAATCGTTTATTGATAGGGAAGAACCGAAAACAATCCCTAAAGTTAGAAATAAGGTAAGAAAAAAATTGAAATGCTTGTAAGAAAGAAATAAATAATAATAGAAGATCCAACACGTAATGTTCAGAGAAGATAAGATAGTGTATTGAAAGAAATAAAAAGTAGAAATGCTGTCCGGCGAAAGAGGCACGTAAAATGTAAACAAAGAGGAGACATCCATGAGAAAAACAGGTGGATACAGACAAGAAGGGGCATTTAATCACCGCCGACTCAACACCGCCGACTCAACACCGCCGACTCAACACCGCCGACTCAACACCGGCCAACTTATCTCCATGACAAATCGATTCTAGGACAACTGAACACTAGCCTACCCAGCGCGAGAACAACTCAAAGCCGGCGTCGAATTCATAGCTTCAGACTGATGTTGGCACATCTCTTAGATCGGCTTTGAATCGTAGCGATTTTTAAAGTTCAACAGTTTGTCATAGCGACTTATTAGTTGCAACAGCCTATTTTGCTGACTGGTGTTTAATTTTCAAAATCGGACAAATAACCATGCTGAAGCAGCAGATAGAAGACTACACACAGGGCCGGAGGTGCATAAGGTGCAAAAGACGAGATGCATTTTCGAGCAATTAATTGGAGGTCACCCCCGCTAAATTAAAGTATATTAAAGCTGATGAAAGAATTTTGCAAATTGTTTCTTCTTTTTTACATACAATTTTCAATAAATTTTTAAATTGAAAATAAACTTTGTATTAAAAAAACGATCCTTAATAAATTACTTTTATTTGTTTTTAAAATGTCGACGAAAACATTTCATAGTTTGAATGTCAATAATTTGTCTTTGCGTTAAGTAGGTTCGTGTTGAGTTGTCCTGCATTTGAGTTGCCAAGAAGATGGGCTGGCCAGTGATGTGTCGTCCTATACCCATATAAAATATGTCTCAAAAATATATACATACATTTACAGTGTCCAGCTCGAGACAATTTGAGTCAATTTGATCCCGTCGTTCAAGTCTTGACCGGCTGTACGGTTGAACTATCCGCCTTCGGGCGGGGAGGTACCCGAACGAGACTACGCCGAAGGGCGGAATCTCTTTCGGGGAGGTAAACCGACCCTGAATCCGTTTATACGGGTTCAATGGGCATATTTTTGGCCGAGTCCACAGGCTCGGAGATCCCACGTTAAACCGACCTTGTGCCACATGATGCCCACGTGGGTGGGTGACTAAATATAGTCAATTTGATTTCTTTCAGATTTACGCTAATAGTATTACTAACATCATCCAGGCTTAGCTTTGAACAAAGAAATTTAATACCGAAATCAATTGGGAGTAAAAAAAAAATGACTGAAGCTCGACGGCGATATTGAAGAGAGTTTTATTCAAATCCTCCGACGAGACTTACAATCTCACGAATTAGTGATAGGTTCTGATTGTACTGTACACAATATGCACAAGAATGTTCCCCGAAGACCACTGATATCAACAGGCCAAGCTGGGAAGCAAGACAGGATGATGGAATGTTTTCACAAGTCTAAGAAACCTGTTAATTCTTGTGATTCCAAGATTGCTGCTTTTGATTTCACTGTGTCGCGTTGTGAGCAATGTCCGTATCATAAAGAAATGTCTGGATCATCACTTTGAAAACATCCGATGACAAAATCTTACATTTAAAATAATTATGATATACATATACATTATTTAAATGAGATAAATTTGGTTCTTCTTGCTTGAATTTTTTCTTGAGAAAGCTTCATGATGGGTATATATTTTTTGTATACATTTTTATTTGTTTTTAAAAGGTCGACGAAATAATTTCATAGTTTGAATGTCAATGGGTTGTCCTTGCGCTAAGAAGGTTGGTGGTGAGTTGTCTTGGAGTTGAGTTGGCAAGAAAATGGGTTGGCCAGTGATGTGCCGTGCTACACCCATATAAGTTATGTCTCAAAAAATGTATACATACATTTACGGTGTCTAGCTCGAGTCAACTTGATTAATTAAAAGAACAATGAAAAAGTAAAAGAAAATCTATATATAAAAATCTGTAACTTCCTTTATCCTGTTCGTCTGTCACACACTCTAACATATTCATATTTTGACCGATCGAAACCAAATTTTGGGGAAAAGTGAAAACAGATAAAGTGTTCGCGGATTAGTACAATAAATTTTCGTTATTTTTATTTTTTTATTCATTTATTTTATTTTATTTTAGTTTTTATTTATTTATTTTTTTATTTTTTATTTTTTTGTAAAAATTAAGTTTTATCATTTAACATACAAAATACTTCCACTATTTAAAGAAACAATTTAACCATTAAAATAGCGAACAGTTACCGGGTACGATGGGTAAATTTTTACCATTTTATATTTTTAATTTCGCACAAGCACTGTTTTTTTTTTTTTATTATTTTGTCGACTACGCAGAATAGTAGGGTCAGTTGGGCACTGTCTGTGACAAAGAGTGTGCAATACACTCCACCAGAAATTTGGAGACAACATGTTGTTGGCATTCGCACCGGAAGCTCCAATACGAACATTTCAGAGGTTTTGGGTGTCAGTGCAGAGCATCGGGGAGAGTTGGATAAGTTTAATGGTATTTTTGAAGGTACGGCAGCTTGGAAAACTCACTCGGATCGTTCTAAGAAAAGAACTCCTGAATGTGTTGTGGAGGTTGTCAGGCGCAACACGGAGACCGACATAAAGTTCCCAGTCCTTAAGGACCCATGGCACACTGGATAAAGGCGTTGGTTAGACCCAGTGACAGGATCCAAATAATTGTGAGTTCAAATTACCTGCTTTTGCTAGTAAAGAGGAAACGTGAATTATCAGATAACTGATAACTGACATCCATTAGACATGGCACGTGGAACTAAAACAGTCTACCCCAGCTAGCAAAATAAACGGTTCAGTTCGACATTTCGACCACCTGAAGAAGACCGGAGCGTAAAACGGTCGAAACGTTGTGATAAATTTGGCAAAAAAGATGAGGACAATAGTTCGAATAGTGTATATAGTGTATTTTTCTCTTGGTGGAAACCATTCATTCTGCCTTCTTACAATTGATGGTTATTTCTTTCTTCTTGCTTTCCTTGACAAATAGATGATGGTGTGAGTTGAACTAGAGTCACATGTTCGGAAACTAACATTCTAAACTAGCGGCCACTATACACATATGTTCTATTTGAGAGAACTTTGTTCTGATAAATGGCATTTGAAATCTTCAGGAACGTATGGTTGTTGTATAACCTGTAAGTTAAGCAACGTCGAGACTTGTCAATACCTAGATGGGTGATCGCTTGGGTATACCAGGTGCTGTAAGCATGGATGGGTGCCTGGGGTAATGGATAATGACTCTGAATTTGTTAATCGGAGAGCCCTGTTACAATCCCCTTTGGCATCGTGATATTCAGCCCCGCGCAAATATCCTAGGCAAAGGCATGAATTCAACTCTTATTCTACTAGGCTATGGATTAATTTATAGGCCTTGTATCTGTAAATCATTACTATGTCTGAGATATACTTACTATCTAAAAATATCTTCCGTCTTTAAATAACCTGCAAAAGGTCGATAGTCAATAAACAAATCAATGAATTGAGTCTATATTGGAGGTTTATTTAAACTTGAGTCTGTAGGAAGTATTGGCGGTTTATTTATATTTAACTCTATAAGATATATTGTTGCTTTATTTGTACTTGAGACTATAGTTAACTGTTGGTTTGTTATTTACGAATCCGCAGGTGTCTGTCTTTTGTGGGGTAGTCTAACCAAACTTTAGCTGATGAATCTGGCCCATCCTAAACCCCGCTAATTTGAAAGTAAAAGACTGGAGATAACAACTTCTCCAACCTGACTTTTGTTAAAGTTTCTTTACGAGAAACCGTTTTGCTCTAACTTGTAATGAAATCAAATCGATGCAAACTACATTTTCTCGTCTTTTCTATCAGCTTCCACTTATCGCATTATTTTATACTAACTGACTAATTGCCGACGGGAAAATCACCGAAAACAGATACGCCTATCTTAAAAAAAACAGTTCTTTCCAAAAAGCATGAATAAATAATATTAAAAACATAATCAAAACAATTGACAGTAATTAATTGCCTAATGTTCTATCAGTTTATATATTTAATTAATAATGAATCTACTTTCATCAAGAAATAACCCTGGGATTGTAAGAAATTGTTTTGTGAAGTTATGCTGATGAAATTAAGTTGAAACGAACTAATATACTTTCAACTAATGAAAACCACGTGATACCAGACATAAGTGGGACTGAAGAATTTCATCTAATGGAGACAACCACTAGAGAACTCTTTGTACCCAATCAATGTATATTTTTGTGACAGAAACAGAAAAAAATTAAAATTAAAAAGTGAAAGTAAAGTATCTCAAATTTAAAAATAATATAAGTAGTGATTATTTCATTTATTATCAAAATATTCGACTTCATAGACACAGAAACACACATATATATGTGTGTGTGAAGTCTGTGGTATATATATATATATATATATATATGTTAGAAATAAAAATATAAAACTTAATATTACGAGACATATCGGGTCTCATAAGCCTTCTTTGTGTAAACAACGTGAGTGTTTGTTGGGGCTCGCTGTCATTTGTGTCTAGTTCCTTTTGCTATTTTTTTCCTCTCACAACTTCCTTTTATTGTACATTTTTCTGTGTTTAATTTTAAATTAAATCTCCCGTTGAATCCTGAAGAGCGGGATCGAAACCGGTTGCTTCGCCTGTTTTTAATATGTCTAGTAATATTAAGTTTTATACTTTTATTTCGATCATTAAATTTTGTACCTACAAAAATATATATATATATATATATATATATATATATATATATATATATATATATATATATATATATATATATATATATATATATATATATATATATATATATATTAATCTGGTTGAAA